GTGGACGCCGGCTTAACGAGCCGCCGCCGCCGCCGCCGCCGTCGCCGCTCGGCATCCCGGCATTTCGATCCCGTGGCCGTCCATCCGAGAGAGCTGGCACCGTTCCTATCCTCGGCCGCCTCTCGCCGCCAGTGTCTACCTGTTGCTCGTGCGGCGAGGGCTGTTCGGTCCCGGTTCTACCTGGCGGCCCGAGTCTTCCCACGTCGCGCCTCTTCTCTCCTTTTTGTCTTATCCCCGCATGACGCGTCTTTTGAGCTGAAAATCCGCTCGAGCTACAAGGAAACGAAACAAAAGGCAGCGACTCCCCGTGCTCCTCATTTTTCTTATCGCGCGTCTTGTCGTGCGGACGAGCGATCCGAATGCGCTCCCGTCGCCCCACCGTCGCGAGTGATCTAAATACCTTCGTTATCACATCGATGCTTTTCTTACAATGAGTCTTGAAGGTAGTTTGTGGGACTGACTCTACTCTTTGTACTTCCTGAGGTTGTTCATATATAACCTTGTGCTGGATTTAGTTGTGTGTTACGTTATACGCGAGGGCGATCGAAATCCTCTCAATGCTCCTTGCCTCGCGGAGCGTGAAATCGGCATTACTCACGGCGGTCTCGAGCGTGTCACGTGGACGTGACGGTACAATCGTTACGAAGAAACGGATTTTCTCGGAGAGCAAACCTTGCCTTGTGTGTTCCGGTTCAGGCGTGTCGCGCGACGATTAACGGAAGTTCATGCGAACAGGACGATTGGCAATTCGAGCGATTCGCCTCGAGTGATCGATCGCGGAAACGAGCGAACGAAGTGGCGCGTGACATATCGGATGGCGGAGTATCAACATTGACAACGTGGTTTCATCCGAAAGTGAAACCGTAAGTCATTGGTCGTTCATTTGCTTGAAAAAAAAATCACTAGAGAAATAATTGGTTCCCTTTAATCCGGAGCGACACAAGCCAAATTCCTTCACAAAATTGAACGGAAAGAATGGTTCTTTACACGGAAAGAATGGTTTTGCTAAAGTATCTAAAAATTTGGCTATACAGAAAAAAGTTTTAAATTAAGATAAATATTAATATAAATATTAATATCTATCTAGATAAAGCAAGAAGATTATAACTTTCTTAAAAATGTTAGTCTCTTTTTCATTGAATTTGTATTGATGCAAATATTACTTTTGCTCAATTCAAGATTAAAAATGTTCTATATGAAGAGTATAATTTTCTTGTTTACATATGAAAATATCATAAATTTGCATCAATACAAATTCAATGAAATCAAGATCAAGATCTTTCTAAGAAAATTATAATATTCTTGCTTATACATATATGAGAATATATAGCCTTGATTTAAGATTAATTTTTTTTCCAGTGCAAATAAAAATCTGAAAATAATTTTGTTGAGCTGTAAAAATAATTATAGATGTAGGATGTTAATATTAATTAGTATAAATTGAATATTAAAAATTTTTATAAGTATTGTTTTATGCGTCTTATATAATTATTTTGATGGTCAACATTACTTTCAGATTTGTACTTGACTTTCAGATTTGTACTTGAAATTTTTAAATACTTTAACAAAATCGTTCTTTATCCATATATAATCAATCTGTAAACAAAACCATTTTTTTCACTCGATTGGATTTATTCATTATGCAGCCAAATAATTTCGTGGGCGAACCGGTACTTATTCCGAGGACAGTCTCGAGGACGAAATTCTAATTTCGTGAAATCGAATCATCTAATCCTTCGTGTATTTTTAAGAGAAACGCACGTAAAGAGTGTCTTCATTTCTTCCCCACTGCAATCCCTGGGAAGAGTGACATGACGCATTCGTTTGCCAGTTATTTTGTTTTCTACTTTACGTTATTTCCCGAATATTATGCTGAATAACCTATCATTTTCCTCGCGTGACTTGTCTTTAGAGGATGCAACAGCGGGAAGAGTGCGTTTCAGACGCGTTTCCACCTTGTTAGAAAAGTTTATTCAGGTGCTGATAAAATATTTGGGATATCTCGTCGTCAGTTTTTACAATTGCTCTTGGTGTCCCAGAAATAACTTATCGGAGATAGACTGCTCGATTGCACCTGACTGAAGATAATCAATCGTGGGACGATCGTACAAATATTTACAAAGTCTGTCGCGCGTTCGTTTCGTCATAAACCTCTCCGATTTTTAGTAACTTAATAATAAAAACGAGTTTATAAACGATTTTATTCTCTCAAAAGAAAGATACGAAATAAAAATATTCATGTCATGTATTTAAGATTTTTCAACTAGTGTTAAATTTATTAACATTCGTGTAACATTGATACATTTACTGTTTACGTCTGCAATATGAATGAGAAAAAACTAAATTGCGTGGAAATATTAAATATATATCTATATATTTATATATTTGCATGATAAATATGAATATAATTCATCAATGACAAAAGCGTCAATTGCATTAAACTTTTGCTAAATAGAAATTAATTTAACAACAAAACGATATCTGCTTAGTTTTTTTTGTTTTTTTTTTTTTTTTTTTTTTAAGTTCGTAAGTCTTAGTTAGGTATTTTGTAGGATGTTGACATGACGATAAAAGAATACAAAGAGACGCACAATTCTACTTGCATAACTGACGAAGAATATTGCAACGTTGTTGATGCACGGGGAAGGGGGGAGGGGCAATAAAATTGCGATTCAATTTTCCAATTAAATAGACATTCTGATTTCATTGGCAATCTTCTTAACTTAATTGATTGTGTCGATTCTCATCTAAAAGTATAGCGTTTGCGCGAGTTTTGATTTGTGTTATCTGGGATCAAATATTAGCATTCGGGGCAGTGCTGTTTGCTCTGTCTCATTTACTGTACCTCATTATCTCATTGTACCGCGATGTTGCAAGATTTGCAACAGTTAGATGAGGCTCACACCGTTACGATCTCGTACGAAATGAAAGCGGGGAATGGCGAATATCCGCATATGAGCGAACGATACTTTCTCGAAAAGATTCGGATGTGTGTAACTTACACGAAAAGTATCTTATATCGAGAATATTTTCTTTTCTCATTTATTATTACTTCAAGAACATTTCTCTCGACGACAAAACGACGAAATTTATCTCTGCCGACGATTTAATTTATCTTTCCTGGTTATTGTATTATAAATCAGCTTTTTACAGAATCTGATGATGGTAGTGGTGTTTGTCGAATAAATTCTATAGCATGAGTTTTAAATGATCCATTATTCTTATCCATACGTCATCGCCCTGACCGATATTATTTTCGACGCTAGTTCTCTTCACGCTAGTTCGTTTTTATTTTCTAAGCGAGGATGGCCTCGATTATGTCTCAGAATCGCGTCCCCTGGAGCGTAAGCGTATACTTCCGGGTATACCTCCGGGAATATAAGCCGCAAAAGGTGGCACCCTGGAATTCCGGGGTGCACAGCGGCTGGTGCTCGCGGTGACCGCGACCGCGACACGCGCGGTCCTTGCACTTCGTCGTTGCTGCGGCTACGTGAGGCGCATAAAATCCGTCGCTGCGGCTCTTCTCCCGGTTTCCTTTTTGGCCGCGCGCTGCTCTCGCGACGCGATTTTCCGACAGAACCGCAACATTACCGTCACGTCACGCGTGATCGGTTTCCAGAACGGCTCGCCCGAGCTCGAGAGTTGCACGGGATGCGTTCGCATCGTGCCTGCCTTCTTTCCCATGTTTTCCCGAGCTTGGATATCAGCCAGTTAACAGTAGTCGTCCTTCGTTTCTGGCGACACGAACGAATATTTCTCCGAATTTGTCTTAATATTGGAAAAGGATGGACGTTCAACGGTGCCAACACTGTTGCGATATTGCC